GTGCCAGTCCCCACCCCTGTTCCAGCGTGGCCACCCTGAGAGGAGGCGAGGGGACTCCAATGTTTGGATGGCACCCCCCCACGCTGCTGGGCCCCTGCAAAGTGCTATCTCTTTACTTCTCTCGGGGTAAGGAAGTGGGTCTGAGAGTGAAGGAAAGGAGCAGAATGTCATACCGCCCGTGAAGCAGGGAGCAGAGGGAGCCAGGCCCCTCCCGAGCACCACCCAGCAGATGAGGGTCAGGCCGGCCCCACCTTACCTCCGGGAGAGAAGAAATCGTGAGTGTAGGATGAGGAGGTTTTAAATAATATGTAGTTTGCATAATAAAAATGCCTGGCAATCCAATAGGCCTATCATTCCGCTGTCTGTTTTCTTTAAATAATTCTAATGCCAGCAGCGGGCGGGGTGGGAAGGTGGTGGCGATCAGGCTATGTACATGAGGAGGAGTTTAAATTAAAACAGACACAATAATTAAGACACACAAACGGAAGGACTGAGGCGCAAGGTGTAGAGCGGGCCTGCGGGAGGCTGTGTTTCCAGGAGCGAGAGGCTTCCGGTGGGCGGTTAGGGCCTCCTCTTGGAGAAGATCAGCCGGCGTTTGGAGTGATAAAAATCTAAGGGGAGAGAGCAGAGGTCAGCCAGGCCAGGAGAGCCACCCAGCCAGGCCAACGGCCGAGGGGCCACGACCCCGCCCACGCTGCCAAGCACTGGACAGGGAAGAACTCCGGCACCTCCCCCGCCCCCCCCCCCCGGCCCCCCATCTCCCAGGGCGTTCACCCAGCGGCCCTTCACAGACGTGAGTGACAATGGGGCCGGATCCCTGCGCCTGCTCTAACCCAAGCTGCCCAAAACCGTGGCCACCAGTCCTAGGTGGTTATTTAAATGAACTAAAACCAAATGAAATGAAAAGTTCCCTTCCTCAGTCACACTAGCCTTGTGTCGAGAGCTCAGCAGCGCTGGTGGCTGGCGCACTGCATGTGCCTCTGAGCTCTGGGACACCCTGCTCTACGCACACCTTCGGGTCACCCGGGAAGGGCTCTGCACAGCGCCTGGCCATGTAACACTAGCTATTGTCATTATCCTTCCTGTGAGTTCCGACCCAGCTGTGGGATTCCTGGCTGCATCTCACTGAGCCTCAGTGTCCTCGCCTGTAAATGGGGGTAACGCTGGTATGCTGCTCTAAGGATGAAATGGAATGCTCTCTGTACGGCTTTGGTCCAGGCCTGGCCTACTAGGTGCTTAATGGCAACATGGCTCATTCATTATTTATCAAGCGCCTACTATGTGTCAGACACCATTCTAGGTGCTAGGGATTCAGCCATGAACAAGAGAGACACAGATCCGTTTCTCGTGGAGATAATATCCTAGTTGGGGAGACGGACAATATCAAAATAAAGAAATGGCTATTGACTGTAAAAATTGCCAAGAGAACAAAATAGGCGGGGCAGAGGGACCGGAAGTGTGTGTGTGTGATGGGGGGAAGGGGAGTTTAGTTTGGACCGAGCAGCCAGGAAATTACTATCATTAGTTTCCTCTTCATGGCAAATTCACTGTGGGTCTTTAGGAAAACCTACCTCTCTGAACCTTTTCCCTGCCTGTAAAAGGGTGGCAAGAACGTCACATGGATTGCTACAAGGACTAAGTGAAATCCACCCTAGAAATTCAGTGAAGGGCTAGCATTCAATCAATGTTCCGAATAAGGGATAGCTAGCTGGTCCTGGCTGTGTGACCTCAGGCAAGTTACTTCCCCTCTCTGAGCCTGTTTCCCCCTCCTAATGACCGGCCAGCCCTCGCATCACGAATCCTGAGTCGTGGTCCCTTGCAGTGTCATTCCCTGCGTCTGTCCTCACCTGTCATGCTGGTCTGCCGCCGTTTGCGGCCCTGAGACGTGCTCGGCCCACCTGGGGACCCCTCAGGCTGCTCAGGGGAGCGCGGCACCAGGGTGCAGGACAGTGACAGGTCCACGTGGTCCTCCTGAGCTGGCCCCTGCAGCAGGGCAGGCGAGCTGCTGGACCGCTTGCTCCTCCCCAGGCTGTCCTGGGCCCTCCTCGGCGCTGAGGACAGGTAGAGCTTGGGCAGGTCCAGGCTCCACACCCGCTCCCAGGCGAAGTCACCCTCCAGCGGTGTCTCGGTGACGAAGTCGAAGTTCCATCGATCACAGGCCTCCTGCACGCAGCTGGCCATCAGAGCATCGCAGTCTCGCTGCAGCTGCTCGCTGTCCACGGGGCCGAACAGGCGGCGGCAGGCCCTGCTGCCGCGGGGGATCGGGCGGGCATCCCGGGATGGCTCGGACATGGTGCCTGCAGCTGAGAGACAGGAACACCCTGGTCACTAGGGAAACGGGCCGGGCTCTGCTCGGGGCGGGGGAGGTCTTCCTATGAGAACAGGAGGTGGGAGGGTGACTGTGGCTCCTTCCAGCTGCTTTCCCACCACCTCCTTCCCACAGGGCCCCAACCTCCTACCATCAAACACTGGGTGGGGGCAGAGCTCAGCCAGCATGGCACCCCAGGGTGACTGGGAGAGCGGGCAGCTAAAGGGCAAGCTTATGTCAACAAAGCTTATTGCAATGTCAGGGATCAAGGGCCTGTTTACCACCCGGTATTATCAGCTAAAATCAATTTACTTTCCCCCCTGAGGTGTCCCTCATGAGTGTGAATGCCCCAAGTACGTGTGAATTTCGAGTCCAGCTCCCCAGCCTTGGCCAGGAGGTCAGTTCCCCAATGAATGGACAGGCTGACAGAGCTCCTCCAGCCTCCTGAGTCCCTTCCCGGATGCCCGTGTGGGATAACCCCGCTCTAGCGCTTCAGAGGACCCTGGGCTTTTGGAGGCAAACACCTGGGGTCTGGGCCTACCTTTGCTGCTTCCTATCTAAGCTTTGAATAAGTCGCTTAATGGCTCTGGGCCTCAGTTTCCTCAACTGTAAAACTGGCTCCATGGAAGTTTAAGAGGATGGCCGTTGAAGCATGAGCAAGCAAATGGCCAGGGAGTCTTTCTAGGCAAGGCGGGTGGCAGAGAGTGGCAGGCTGTATCTCATGGTTAAGAGCGAGGGCTATGGAGCAGGACTGCCCGGGTGGGGACACAGGCTCTGCTGGTTGACCCTGGACAAGTGGCTTAACTTCTCTGGGCTCTATTTTCCTCGTCTGTAAAATGGAGACGATAATAGTAAACATCTCAGAGGACAGGTGTGAGGATTAACTGAATAGAGAATGTGCTTAGAGCAGCACCTGGTATACAGAAGTGCTTGGAAAACAGAAGTATTATTGTTTCTCTCTGCCTTCAGCTCTGGCTGAGCCTCCACCCAGACAGCAGCTGACAGGTGCTGTCGGCTGGGCCTTTCACAGAGTTGTCATCAGCGAGTGGCCTGGGGCTGAGGAGGAGCTGGGCTGGGCAGGGAAGAGCCGTGATTTCTCCCAGGCTGAGCCACATCCTGCCAGGCCCATGGTGACTGAAGTCTAGACTGCCTTGAAGCCCCTGTCCCATACTGTCTGCACCCAAGGAACCCGTTCTGCAAGCAAAGAAAATTAAAGGCGGCCGGTCTCCCCGGTTCCTCTCCTCCCACGTCAGGGAGCACTGGCACTCCCTGCCCTGCTCTGGCCTGACTCCAGGGCTGAGCGGCTGCACGAAATTGTCAGGGACTGGCTTTTCCTGGGGACAAGTCCTGATTTGCAGGCTCTGAAGGCAAAAGCTTTGCTGAGGGATCTCCTGGGACAGGAAGCCTGGACTCATGACACACCTATTGCTCCCCATTCCCCCCCACCCCACCATGAGTGCAGCCCACATCTCAGCTGATAGGGGAGGGGCGGCACTTGGCGACCTCAGACCAAGTTTAAAGGGCAGAAGAGACAGGAGATTTGCCCCCAAACCATACAACTAAAAATGGTCAAAGGCCTCTGCCCCACAGAGGGGTTACACAGTGCAGAGCCTTCAAATAACTTTGCCCACCGTCTTCAGGGCAAGGATTGAAATTTATTTGTATATTCTTACATGCCAGGGCTGTTGTAAGAAGTTTCCAAATACTAATTTTCCTAAAATATGGGTACATTCATTCTTTTTTACAGAAGAGGTAACCAAGGCTCAGAGAAGTTAAGTAACTTTCCCAAGGCCACACAGCTCACAGGTAGCACAGCCAGGATTCTAACCCATGCCTATTTACCCTGAGTTCTGTGCTCTGGTGTTGAACTCTGCTCTCTCACTCATTTCAAGGTTTCCTACCCAGAAAGGCTCGTTGGAATGACTTGGAGAGCTTTATCAAAATGTAGATCCATAGGCCCCTCCCTCCCCAGACCAACCTAATTCAAATTGAAGGGGATTTAAGTCTTTGCCAGTTCCCCAGAGGGGCACACAGAGGGGACACACGGGGACCCTGACATGGACATGCTAGGCCTCGTGCCTCGGGGCTCGTGGAGCGGCTCTATCTGGAAGCTGGATATTCCTTGGCTTCCAGGAGCGAGGACGGGACCCTAATCCAGGCAGCGACCCCCTCTCCTTCTACCACCCCTGCCCTTACGGCTCAGCTAGGGCCCATGGAAATCTGCTCTCGCCCCCATTATCATAACTCCCAGCTCAGGGGAAACTCACGCACAAGCCCTGGTTTTACACACAAGAAACTGACCCTAGACAGCCTTCTTCGTTGGCCGTCGTGCTTTAGACGTCAGCCAGTTTCAATTCCCGAGTAAATAGGAAGCGCTCGGAAAGCTCTGCTGAGCCAGGGGGGGCTCTCTTTAGGGGCCGTTGCAGGGCGGGGAGGGGGGCCGCCTGTGATGAGCCTGGGGGGGCCGCGGGAGGAAAGGCGGGCGAAGCCGCACTCCGCGGGACGCGTGTGCTGTTCGCGGCGGGGCCGGAAGGGGGCGCCAGCCTCCAGGAAATCACGCGCGGGGCGGGGGTGCGGGGGCCGAGCCGGGACTTGGACTGCGGAGGGAGTTGTGATGAGTCAGTTTCCTGCAAAGCGCTCCCTGCCCGCCAAAACTCCGCTTCCACTCCGGCTGCGTCACTCCCAGCTGAGGAAGGGGAGGGGGCGGGGGGCGGGGGGCGGCGAACACGTCACGCTGACCCAGCCGGGCTTCCCAAACCGCCGGCTGCGGGGAAACCGCGCGCTCTGGCGCCATCTGTCACTCACACGCACACAGCGCGGGCACACACTCACACGCACAACACACTCACTCACACACACACACGTGCACTCACATACACACACGCACATTCACACACACACGCGCGCGCGCACTCACACACACGCACTCACACACGCGCACACACTCACACGCACTCGCGCGCGCGCACAGGCGCGCAGGACCTGGTCCCTCCACCTTATCTCCACGCCCAAAGCCCGGCTGAGTCAGACCCCTGGAAAATAAAAATAGACGGGAGCCAAGAAAACAAAACAGCCCGAAAGTCCTCCCCGAAACGCGACTGGAGGGCGGGAGGCGGGCGCTGCCTGGACGCCCTGACGTGCCAAACCCGGTTCCAAGATTCCTCCCGGGAGGAGGCCCAGTGCCCCCACCTGGTCGCGGGACGAGCGGCGGCACCCGAAGGGCCCTCCCGCTGCGCTCAGCCCTGGCCTTGGCGGGGGGGGGGGGGGGGGGGGGGGGGGGGTTCTGGGCTGGCCCGGGTCCCACCTCAAGCCCCTGACTCAGCGCCCTGCAAAGCCTCACCCTCCGAGTTTCGACCCCACCCCGCGTCCCACCCGGCGACACCGCACATCCAGGGCTCCGCTGTGCAGAGCCCACCCGGCCCCGCAGCCCGTCGCCCCGGAGGGCAGGCTGGGCCGGGGTCCCCGACGCCCCGGAGGGCAGGCCGGGCCGGGGTCCCCATCGCCCCGGAGGGCAGGCTGGGCCGGGCCGGGCGGCGGTGGGAGAGGTGCGTGGGTCCCAGCGCTTCCCGATTGACGGGCTGCAGCGCGCCCACCCGCGCGGGGCCGCGGCTCCGGGGCGCGGGGCGGGCCTCCCGGGAGCACGGTGCCAGCCAAATGGGTCACTGTGCTGGCGGGGGCCGGGCCTGGCCGGGGCGAGGCCGGGGACTGGTGGGCGCCCTGCCCGCCGCCTGGGGGTGTTCGGGACTCCGCCGGTCCATCCCTGGTCCGGAGTCTCCGGTCCCCGCGAATCACCTCCTCGCTGGCCCCTAAGGGACATGCCCGACTCAGATCCACGACTGGGACACAGCCCGCGACCTCAGTGCCCAGCGGGCAGCGGGCCCCACGGCAGCCGGGACCCCGACCTCAGCGGCTGGGGTGGGGGGGCGGGTCCGAGAGCCTCCTGGGCGCGGGTCCCAAGGAACCTGCTGCGCTGGGCGCTCCCGCCGGCGGCCTGGCGCCTACCGCGGCTTCACCGGCTCCGCGAGCCCGCCGCGCCCGTCCACGCCCTCCGCGCCCCGACTTTCCAGGGAAAGGGCCGTGGCAACGGGTCCCTCGCACTCGCGTCCCTCCCCCCGTTCGGGGTCTCCGGCGCATCCCGATGCCCGTCCCACGCGCAAACCCGAGGCCCACGCACGCCCTTCCCCGGTGCACACAGCTCGCACACACCCGTGGGCACACAGACGCGCGGGTTCCCAGCCCAGCCGGGTCCGTCCCAGGGGCCGCGGCTCCCTCACCTCCGACGGTCTCTGCGTCTCGCGAATCGAACCGGCTCCGGATCCCAGGCTGCCACCCGAGCAGCTGCTCAGCCCTCAGCTGCCGCCGCCCGGCGCTCAGCTGGTTTATAAACTGTGAGGGGCGGGACCGGCTGCTCGGGCCACAGCGCCGGCACCGCCCTCCCCGGGGACACCGCCCCTCCCCTGCACCCGGCGGAGCTCTACGTCCCTCCCTGTGTCCCGGTCCCTCCAACTGCCTGAGCTTGCCCATTTCCCCCACGAACTGAGCCACAAATGTGGGGTTTTTTGGTTGGGAAGTGAGTTGGTGCTCCCCAGGAGGGATGGCACTGGTAAGATAAGCCCCCTTTCTGACCCTGATAAATAAATAAAAATCCATAACTAATAACAATAATGCACCTCACTCTGCAATTCCCAGAAAAGCCCCATATGGTACCACCACTATTCCCACCATCCCTCACCACAGCGCCTCTCCCCAAGCACCAGGGGGACCCAGACACCCCAACAAAGCCCCTGATTCCGCAGATGAGGCCCCCAGAACTAACGGGGTGCAGAGGGGTGCTTGGCAATGCCGCGGAACAGGAGGGAACTGGGGAGCTTCTCAGAAAGGGCATCCTGTCTCCCGGGCAAGTCCTGCATTGCACGGCCTCCCTGAACCCGACCCTGCTCCCCACACCCCCCTCTCTCCCTCAACAGAAGAAACCTCTGTGACTGCCCTAGGCTTGACGCTAGGAGGGGGAGAAGGCCGTTCCACACACAGCCCACACACTGCTGGGGAAACTGAGGCAGAGAAGTTCCTGACCTTACATCATGCAGCAAACAACTGGCCACAGTTGGATCACAGGCGTTGTGCCTCCCGTCAGAGTTCTCTGCTCGTTGCCCTCTCTATTTCAGAGGCTCTAGAGAATGAGGGAAGCACCCAGGACCCCCCATTTCCAGACAGCTTACGGCGGTGACACTGATGAAGGGCAATTCTGCAAGTGTCCCTGGTGCTTCTGACAGATGCAGAGCAAGTGAGGTGCCCCTATGTTCCCCCCAACCTCCACACCCTGTCCCCCCTTGGGCCCCCATCTTTGCCCCTTCCTTCACCTAAGGCATTTGCAGTTTCTGATTTTAAAAAAAAGAATTGCATGGAACAGTGTAAATCTGTACAGGAATCCCACTGGAAAGTTAAATCCAGGCTTAGAGCAGCTACAATTATTGACATGGAGGGCTGTTCAGTGTCTGGAAATCTATGCCCAGACATGCCCAGTCTTCTTCCTCTCGCACAGCTGACCTCAGGGAGAACAACACTCCTTCTTCTCGCTTCCCTCCCCCCTCCACACACACACACATGCCCGCACCCTCCCCCCCAACACACACACACACACATGCCCGCCCCCCGAAGGCCGGCTGTCAGAAGTCCAACAGAAGGCGGCACATCCTCCTGCTGCCTTGAATCCCCTGGGCTTCCAGGCATTGCAAATAGACTGGACATTGTCTGCCTGTTTACTTTGGGGGAAAACATTTTAATGAAGCTTGTACTGAACAACGTACAGTGTTGTGGCCTGGAGCTTCACAATGAAATAATTCTTTTTGTTGTTGTTGAGAAATGAAGGATTTTTTGTTGTGGTGGTGGGGTTTTCTTGTGTGTGTGTGTGTGGGGGGGGGGGTTACCTCTAGCTCATTACCACCAGCACCACAATAGAATTCAACAAATATTTCTAAAAGCCCCTACTGCTCCCAACCATACACATGAATGCGAACCCAGGCATGTTCTTAAAGGAGGACCTCTACCCTGGAGAGGGCAAAGGAGCACGTTGTTAGAAGTCACACAGGCGATCTGACTCCCAAAACACACACACACACACACACACACACACGCACACGCACACGCACACACACGCACGCACGCACACACACACAAAACAGATCTCAAGCCAACCCCAAGGAATATGCTGAACACTGCATATTCTGTTCAGAAAAGCTCAGACCAAGGTCTCCCTGGGGTCTGGGGTTCTTCTGTCTCCTATTACCCCCCCTTTTCCACCCAAAGCAGGCAGCCCCCTGGACAAAACAGCCATCAGCCTCTTCTATGCCAGGTCTCAGCGTGCTGGCGCATGTTCCTGAGGGCCAGGGGGCAGGCAGGGCAGGGGGCAGGCTCTCAGAAAGCTGCGTCTTAGTGATGGGGCAAGGCTCAACCTGGGGGAGAAAAGGTCCAGATCACACACTGCCCCCCCCAACCCTGCCAGCCCCCCCCCTCCCCCCGCCCCCAGGCAGGGAGGTGAGGATGGAAAGGAAAAGTGGAAAGCCCAAGCCTGAAAAAGGAGGATGTGAGGAGGACTCAGTGGTGGTGCAGGAACTTCCCAAGAAGGGAGAGGAAGTGCTGGGAACAATGTCACCATTTCTCAGAAAAGGCCCCAGGCGCCCCAAAGCGGGCAGCCTGTTTTCAGAGGAATTTACCTCCACACTGGCTCCCAGGAAGTGAGACCCCAGAGAAGAGACAGAACAGAGATATTACATTACTAAGCAGAAGCCCTGCTTTGTTGTTGTTGATAAGGAGGAACGAAATTGAGACACGCCTCCCCCACCCGCCACCCCGCTGTTCCTGACCCACTGGGGACGTACCCAGATCAGCATACAGCATACAGATCAGGACTGACCATGCAGTGAGGCAGAGAAATTTGTGACTAAATTTGTGCTACACAAATACTTCCAGCTGGCATCACTAAGCTGGAAATTTCACCTTGCTAAGCCTGAAATTTCACTGTGAGAAATTCATTCCTTTGTCATGAATCCTGTTTATCCTATATAATAAAGAGGTAATATGCAAATTAACCCTCACACCCTCACAAGATGGCTGCCTACAACCAGGCCGGTAGGGGGGTTAGTGAGGGATGACCGAACAACTGAACAGCAGGCTGCAAGGGGCTACCAGGTCGGCAGGGGGGGCCGTGAGGAGCAACCAGGCCAGCGGTGGGGGGGGGGGGGGCAGTTGGGGGCAACCAGGCCAGAGGGAGGGGGGGAAGTTAGGGGTGACCAGGCCAGCAGGGGAGGTGCAGTTGGGGGCAATCAGGCCAGCAGGGGGCGCCGTTGGGCGTGACCAGGCAGGCAGGCAGGTGAGTGATTAGGAGCCAGCAGTCCAGGATTGTAAGAGGGATGTCCGACTCCCGGTTTAGGCCTGATCCCCAGGATCGGGCCTAAACCGGCAGTCGGACATCCCCTTAGGGGTCCCGGATTGGAGAGGGTGCAGGCTGGGCTGTGAGGACCCCCCTCCCATGCATGAATTTCATGCACCGGGTCTTTAGTTATTAAATAAGATCATATAGGCAAAGTGCTTAGCATATTAGTTATTATTATTGCTATACAAACACCTCCAAGGAAGGCATCCATTGAAACTGAGCAATCATTTGCACTTACGTGGTGTCTTCGGTAGGTTTCCCAGAATACACACTCTGAAGTGGAGATTTGCTTGGAGGATATTTCTTGGGGAGTACATGCGCAATCAACACCCGTGTAAAGAAAAGAGGACTGAGCTGAGAGAGAGGAGTTGGGTTGTGATGGGGGCTGGAGGTTGAGCCCATAGGGAGCTCTGGAGCTAGGCTGGTCCTGCAGAGCTCCCTGAAGCAAGGGGCAGGGCCTTATACCCCTGCTTCCTCCTGTCATTTGAATGTGGCTACCCCTGGAGTAGGAGGGCACATGACCCTTATCTATGTCCGATTCCTAAGAAAGGACTCGACTGAAAGCATTAGCAGCCAACACTCCCCGTGGAGAGAATGAGTTGGGGTCCTGTGGAGGGTTCTGGGTGGCACAGCTCAGTGTGAATGAGTTGATCTGGTCATTGAGGGACTAGAAGGTGGTGAGGCAATACAGTGGATATGGCCCCCTGAGGAGTGAAGGGCCCGCACATATGGTTCCCTCTTCCTGGAATGACTGTTCCTGACCAACCGACACCACCTTCACTCCTTTCTCCACTGACCGAACTCCTATTGATCCTTCATGGCCCAACTTACATGACCCTTTGGCGGGAGGCCTTCTCAGAGCGCCCGTGGCTCCTGGAGCTCCTGGCGAGCAGTCCACTCCACTCTGCTTTGCCGCCTGCTCGGTGAGCGTGCCCCCTGCATCACCTGAGCTGGGAACCTGCAGGGGATGAGCCCGTATTTTATTCATCTTTGTACTTTGGAGGCCCAGCAGCCTCGGCTGAATGTTTAGAGAAGGGCCATTTTTAGCCTGCACTCTGAGATTAGACGTCGGTGTCTTTAAAAATCAACGACACCCTCCTGTGAATTTCCCTCCTGTCCTGACCCCTTCCTTCCCTACCTCGACGTAAACACTCCCTTGAATCTTATGTTGAACTTCCCTTTGTTTTCAATAGTTTTGTCACATGTGGGCACCATAGTCATCCTCACCCATCTGTCTACAGGCTCATCTTCTACATTTCCCAGCACTCCCTGGCAGGTTAGACAGGGTCATGTGACTCTTTCTAGCCAGTGAAATGTGAGCATAAGTGACACTGTCTCCTTGGGGCTGAGACCCGTGAAGTTCTCCAGTCCTGTCCTCCATGGCTATGGCCAAAGTGAGGTCTCATCTCAACATGGCGGTGCCTCCACCAGCCTGGGATCCCGAGAGACGGTGTGGAGCAGAGCACCCCGCCAGCCTGTGTGGGATACGTGTGTGAGAAGGAAGTAACCCTTTGTTGTGTGAAAGTCACTGAACTGTGGAGGTGGTTTGTTACTGGGGCATAACCTACCTAAGATTTAGCCATGTGGCTGTGGGGTTGTGGTTTGTGGAAGTCTGTGGCACCCAATGCAGTGTATCCCTGGGTAGTCACACCCTTTTGTCGCTGTGTCCCCCTCGCCCCCCACCCCCACTGAATATGCCTGGCTTGTATCTCTTTTAGCCAACAGAATGGGACAAAAGTAACCCGGTGGCCATCCCAGGCTTAAGCCTTGAGAAGGCCTAGCAGCTTCTGCTTCTGCATTCCTGAGGACCTGGAGCTACCTGTGAGAAGTGTGACTGCTCTGAGCCCACCATGCTGGGAGAAGGCATATGGAGGGAGAGGCCACATGCAAGACACCGGCGGGCCTCCCCCGGAATAGGCCCAGCTGATCTCCTAGCTGGCGAGTGGGACCATCTTGAGAATTGATCTTTCAGCCCCAGTTGAAGCCACATGAAGTGGGGACAAACCATCCCCAGGGAGCCCCTGCCTAATTGTGTAGGGTTGTGAGCAAGAAAATGGTGTGTCTGCCACTATATTTTGGTTTGTTATGCAGCCGTATGTTATGAAAACAGGGCTCAGTCATGTTCACTGTTATTTCACATCCAGCGATCCCTTCTCCTTTCAATGGGCACTTAGGTTATTTCCAATTTTGCATTATTTTACAGAGGGCTGCTGTGATTATTCTTACCCATGTGTCTCGGGCACATGTGCAAGAGCTTCTCTTGGATGTACACCGAGGAATAGAATTGCCCTCACAATCTTTCTGCTAGGAGAAAAGTGATTGGAGAAGCCTAACACCTAGGGCAGTGGTTCTCAACCTTCTGGCCCTTTAAATACAGTTCCTAACCATAAAATTATTTTCGTTGCTACTTCATAACTGTAATGTTGTTACTGTTATGAATCGTAATGTAAATATTTGATATGCAGGATGGTCTTAGGCGACCCCTGTAAAGTGTTGTTCGACCGCCGAAGGGGTCGCGACCCACAGGTTGAGAACCACTGACCTAGTGTTTGGGTCTCACTGTCTATCTGTCTCTTTCAGGATTGTTGGAATAAGTCTAGAGCATGAACACATGTTAGGGATTATCATTGCTTGCATTTTTGTGGAGGGACAAAAAGGAATCCAAAGGAATGAAGCACTAATGGTGGAATTTCAGATACTGTGACACCTGGGAGCAGACATTTGGTGGCAAGGGCAACTGCCCACAGACACTGCCCAGTCTTCTGAGCTGGCCTTCAAAGACCCCAAGACATCCCTCTCCCCAGGCGAGGAGCTCAGAACAGCCTTCTGGATGATCCCCGCAGAGTAGGAATTATGCATTCTTCCTGTTTGTTTTCTTCCCTAACTAATGATTTTTAAGCCCCTCCTAAGAAAAAGTCCCACATACATCAAAGTTCTGAGGCCCCTGGGTTTGGATCTTCTGATTGCATGGCAGCGTGGAGTCTTACAAAGTGCTTTCAGGATCTCGGATCCATGATCTCACTCCTCACCTCTCACCCTTTCTGCCCCCATCCAGGACAGGTGTTTTAGACTCACACTACAGGGGGGAATGGAGGCCCCATGGTGACACAGGCAGAGTCAGGGCAGACCCAGGGCTCCGGTCGTGGCCTCCCCCTCTCTGCTCCCCTGCCCCCCATCAGCTGCTTGCCCTTGTCTTCGCTTCCCTAGGATAGCTCTGAGTGACACACGTGCTCATAATGCCACCAGAGCCACTGTGAAATGCAACAGCTGCAACCCCAAGCCCCAAATGCTGGTGGCCCCACTGGAGCGGAGCCAGGGAAGAGATGATAGTTCCCTCCCCCACCCCATCTCGCAGTGGCTTCTAACAACCTTGCCCCCTGCTGGGAGGAATGATTGCCTAAGTCTCCTCTTGGGTAAATGCCCGCAGCTCACGGCCAGACTTAGGAAGGGAAGCAGGGCTATGTGTTAACTAGTTGGGGTAACACTGTAAACTCCCACATTTCAGCGATAACCCAAGAGGAGTTTATTCCTTACTCACATCTGAAGACAGTTGAGGTGCTCTGGTGGCCGAGGGGCTGAACTCCCTGGCTGAGGGGACTTTCCATCCTGTGGCTCCATGTCCTGAGGCCCCGGGACCTCTGCCTCCAGCCGGAGGGAGGGGGACGTGCAGGAGGCGTGGTTTCCTCACACCTGCCGCAGAAGGCGCTGGGCCAACTCCCACCCACCTTCCTTCCAGGAACTTGTCATGTGGCCCCACCTAGACGCAAGGGTCCACACAGTCCCGGGGTGGGGGCATAGGCTTGTGATGGGCACAGGCTTGCTGGCCGTCTCTGCCTCAGTGGGGGAGTGAGGCAGAGGAGAGCCCTTCCTCCCCTCCTCCTTCCACGTGAGTCGTTTCCCGCCGAGTGTCTGGACATGGCCCCCACAGGATCAGGGCCACCATAAGCGGGGTGTTCTTGGACGGCAATATCTTTTTTCCGGTACAACCTGGTATGTATTAGTAGTTTGATCAGAGATAGCCAAAGGCCACCATTCTGGGGGAGTCCTGGAATTTCGGGCTGTTTCTAGCGGTAGGCTGAATGGCCTCCGCTTACCAACTGGATGAGGTTTGCCCAAGCCACAGTCCAAAAGCTGCATCGCCAAGATGCTAAGATAGAGCCCCGTTCCCGCTGCGGCCTGCGGTGATGGATACCGATAGACAGTGGGAAGCAGAGCCGGGTAGTTCGTCCTCATCAGGAAAACGGCCCAGTTCTATGCTCGATGCCATGGGCAGCCACGTTCAGAGCCGGAACTGGGGCCCCCGCCTCTCTAACTGAGGAGCTTGCGCTGTGGGGCTCTCAGTGATGAGAGAGTCCCAGACCCACCTGGCAGGGCCCGAGGGCTGAGGTGGACGGGAGCTATAGGAATCTGAAGCTACAGGGGAAAAGAATAAGGACTGGTTGGCGCTGGGGGCAAGGGGCTCGTTCTTGGCTGGAGGAATCTGACGTGGTTGCCTTCGTGGCAGCTGCTGCTGCTGCTTCCTCAGTTTGGCTCGTGGGTTCCTGAACCACGTTTTGATTGTTAAGTCCAGTGGCTTGAGTTTCACAGCGACTTCCTTCTGGAGAGTTTTATCTGGAGACATGGTGTAGCTACATAGATCCCCCAGCGGGCCATGCTGAGTATGCATGAAGGAGGGGCGTCTTGTGTGTGTGTGTGTGTGTGTGTGTGTGTGTGTGTGTGTGTGTGTGTGTGTGTGTTTAATGTATAGTTTCATTGATTTCAGAGAGGAAGGGAGAGGGAGAGAGGGAGAAACATCAACGATGAGAGAGAATCGTTGATCGGCTGCTTCCTGTACGCGCCACACTGAGGATCGAGCTGGCAACCCAGGCATGTGCCCTGACAGGGAATCAAACCAGGAATCGAACCGTGACCACCTGTTTCATAGGTCGATGCTCAACCACTGAGCCACTCCGGCCAGGCGAATGAGGTGCACCTTTGGTGCTTCTTCCGTGTTGTGGGACCAGCTGGGTTCTGTTCATGCTGGAATCATCCACGTGGTTAAAAGGGGATTCTCGGGGCCATTCTGTTCATCAGAGGCACTGACCGCTGGGAGGAAACGCCGTGATCAACTTTGTCTTGTAACAGGTCGGTGCTGTAACCACTCATGTTGACAAAAGAGAAGGTGCAGGGGGTCCCAGGGCCCCTCTGGCCACGGGGCACCGGAGGGCTGCCTCGGCAGGACTGTCCTGGGTCCCGTGGGCGCCCCCTCTTAAGCCTGCTGGATGTGTCTCTCTGAAAATGCAGCTTCTTTAGTGCCCCGACCTCAGTATCGTTTCCATAAAATGGGCGCTTTCATATCCGTGACCTTCCAGCCTCCCGGAGAGGTTGGAGAGAATGAGGTGGATGTGAAGCTCCCCCAGCTCCAAGGGAGGAAACCAGGACACACAGCAGGGCCATTCCTCCCTCTGGGACAAGGTTTGCTCTGTTTTCACAAGTCAACACGACAGCCCGTGAGAAGTCACTGCTCTGAGTGCAGGAAACCCCTTCCTCACACGCCCATCAGCACAGCTGCTGGGGCCCAGGAGGGCTCGAAGGGAAGGCCTTTCCTTGCCCCAAATGCGGGTACACAGACCCTGACTGGTTCTTGATGGGGGCAGGTAGGAGGGAGGGGGAGCCAGCCTAGACCTGTGGGGGGTAGGAGGGGGAGACCGCAGGGAAGGCCAGGCCTTTGGGGCACCTTGCAGATGCCTGAACCCCCTCCACTGGGCCCCCTTCCCCTAGCGCGGTGATTCTCGCCCTAGAGAGTTGGGGGGAAGGGACCTTGTACAAAGTGCTCTGGCCCTACGTGCACCTGGCCTCTCTGGAAGGGGGCACTGCAAACAGTGGGGGGCTGCTCCCCAAGAGAGGAGCAGGTCCGCTGGGGGCCACCGGCAGGGACCTCCAGCACCGCTGCGTCACTGTGGATAGCGCCCCCTTGAGTCATGCTGGGCAAAACCTGCCTGTCTTGGGGTACAAGGTAGGCTTATTTCTCATAATATACATTTTTAAAATAGTTAATATCATTTTAAATAATAATTAACACAATTTTAAAAACATACCCCACGTTCTGGTTCTATCTGAATCTACTGAAGTAAAACTGGGCGAGGGCCAGCTGCACAAGGGCATGGGCACTATTCTGAAAAATCTCCTCCCCGCCCCCTCTCAGCTTTGGGAACCCTGATTTAGTCCATCGGTGCTGGGGCCCCTCTCACCTTCGGAAGCTCTCAGCAGACCCTGGGGAATAGGTGAGGAGGGAGCTCAGGCCCAGTGAGCAGGAGGCCAGCTTTGCCCCTCCTCCTGAAGCCCTGAGCAGCCCCTCCCCCCCTCCCCACAAGCCCTGCATCAGCATCTCCGGCCACAGCTTGGCCGCCCAGCTCAGCGGCCTTGCCCGGGCTTGCCTTTGGTTGCATCAGCCTCTGGCCGTGCTGGGTGTCAGAGGAGCAAGCCTCCCACTCACGCTGGAGAGAACCAGCTAATTATATCGCCCGGGCAGCCAGCTGACCCAGCCTGTCTCTACTTGTCTTGCGCGACTGTTCTTGACTTTTCAAAATACCAACCAGGAAAAAGTCACCGGGGCCGTGGGGCAGCGGCTGCAGCAGGAGCAGGGCCTGTCCACCTGCTGCTCTGGGGGGACCTGCTCGCACTCGGAGCTGAGAAAACAAAAGCGAGTCTCTGCCAACCAAGTCAGGGCTCAGAAGGTGGAGCGGCCCCAGGACAGGATGCGCCAGAGTCAGCAGAATCCCAAAGACAAATATTGTTTTGACAGCATCAATAACAGCAGCACAGTGCCTTCTTTTTCCAAAAATCTTTAAAATTCCACTTGTAGTTCAGTCAAAAGTGCAGAGTTCTGCTTTTCCTTTATTTCCTGTATTTATTTTTTGAAGAGATAATGCATTCACATGGATCACGGTCAAAAGATGCAAAATGAACCCCCCACCTCCCCACCCCCCCACCCTCCAACCCCCACTTCCTTCCCAGAGACTGGCTGGCTGCTGGCTCCTTGCAGACAGTCCACACTCCTTCATCCGTAGCCCTCGGGGGCAGAGGGCTTTCAGGATCCAGACCTGTCAGCTTTCAGGCTGTAGTAAGATGCATGTAACACCCCAGGTGGCTCTGTGTAGGGTGACCCATTGTCAGGGGTTGAGCACTGTTAGTCCCTCATCCAAGGACCTCCTCAGCCCCAGGCGAACAGGACGACTGGTCACCCTCGGTCTGGGGTTCGAGGTGTTCACACTAATGGGGATACATAAAAACTGCAAATGGCTGCACAACCTTTCAGCTCCAGTTTTGCTATCAAGTAAATTTGCCACACGCCAAAGAGAAACCTTATGGCTTTCGGAGATTTCGGCCTTGGGAATGGTGGGCGAGGGGTCGTGGACCTGTGAGCAAAGATGCACCTATTCTTTCCACCCGCCCAAAGGGGAACACGGCATCAGGCACCGTGCTTTTCCACTCGCATTCTGCCGAAGCCATTCCACACCAGCCTGGAGAAAGCCCCAGTGCCTCCCGCTGCTGCACAGGCCCCCGTCGTGTGCATGCGCATCTAGGCTGTCTGTATCTTCCACCATTACAAACGCAGCTAACCCCATGGAGGGGGTGGTCACGGAGGAGGGATGGGTGCGCATTGCTAAAGCAAGTGACTGAATGTTGCCGTCCCAGCCTGCTCAGAAGTTATGGGGAGAGACAAGAAGACCTGCTGAGGTCTCCTGGGTCGCCTACGCCTGTCCAGCCACTTAACATTGTGAAAAGTCATTCACACTAAAAATATTTTCCAAGCAAGAAAACAATTTACAGCCCTAACCGGTTTGGCTTCTAAAAATACACCAAGACTTAGCTGGTTTGGCTCAGTGGATAGAGCGTCGGCCTGCGGACTGAAGGGTCCCAGGTTCGATTCCAGTCAAGGGCATGTACCTTGGTTTCGGGCACATCCCCAGTAGGGGGTGTGCAGGAGGCAGCTGATCGATGTTTCTCTCTCATCGATGTTTCTAACTCTCTATCCCTCTCCCTCTCTGTAAAAAATCAATAAAATATATTTTTAAAGAAACAATTTACATTCAGACCTACTGTATTAGGGTTCTCCAGAGAAACAGTATATATACACACAGTATATATACATACATATATATTATGTATTAACCGGTATAGTATATTACAATACTAATAGTAATGATCTTCTATATATATAAAAAGCCAGGGACCAGAATGCCGCTAAGGACCAGAGCAACCAGTCGCTACAACGCCCACTGTGGCCAGCAAACCAGGCCAATGGGGGGAGGGGGACCTGACAGCCAAACTCCCACAGCCCCTCCCCGCACCCGGCCCCACCCCAGATCTGCCCCCACCACTCCTATGAAGGGCAGGGCTGGGTGGCCAACCACCTGTGGCCCTTCCCCCAAGCTGGCCCTGCCCCCAATCCGCCCCCACCACCCCAATCAGCCACAGCCTCTCCCCCAAGTCAGCTCCGACCCAGATTGGTCCCCCCACTCTGATCAGAGGCAGGGCTGGCGGGCCAACCTCCCATGGCCCCTCCCCCAGCTGCTGACTGCCAATCGCCCTCGCCCCTCCCCCCAGCTGTCCCAGCCCTGATCTGGCCTCAATTGGGGCAGGCCTGCCAGCCAACCTCCCGCCAACTCCTCCTCCCAACAGGCTCGGCCAGATCCGCCCAGATTGGGGCCAGGCTGGCCAGACCCCACCCATGCACAAGTTCGTGCACTGGGCCTCTAGTTAATAATAACTAGTGTTATAGCAGCTCTCACTTATTGAGCACTTTTATGTGCCAGGCATTCTTCTAAGTAACATACTTTATCTCAGTTAATTTTTATAACAACTCTATGAATGAAGCACCATTACTTTCATCCCCATTTTATTTATTTATTTATTTTTATTGATTGATTTGAGAGACAGGGAGGGGGGGCATCAATTTGTTGTTCTACTCATTTATGCATTCATTGCCTGCCTCTTGTATGTGCCCTACCCCTGGCATATTAGGACGACACTCTAACCAGCTGAGCTACCCAGCCAGGGCCTCATCCCCATCTTAAAGATTAAGAGACTGAGGTAGAGACAGAGATGAAATCCTTGCCTAAGCCAGACTGAGCAGAACGTGGATTTGAACCGAGACAGGGTGACTCCAGAGGCAAAGCTCTTAACCACTAATAAGCAACAGCTAACACTGTGGTCGTGATTATCCAGTGCCAGGTGCCCTTCTAAATGTTCATGTGTATGAGCTCGACGAATCCTTACAAATCCTATTCTTCTTCTTCCCATTTTACAGATGAGGCAACCAAAACACAGAAACGTCAAGGCACTTGCCCAGGTCACACAGCCAGGAAGCTGCCTGTCAGGGACTTGACCCAGGCAGAGGCCACATTCCTGTGCCCAGAACTGTACCCGGGGCCAGGACTGGGTTCCAGGGCAATCTGAGAGCAGTGGCCACGGCTTCCATTTCTCTGCACCTTGTGTGGTGCCCAAACTGTAGAATTTAAGAAGCATCCAATAAATTTTCTTCTAAAATTTAAATAGTCAATCTAAACAGTCAATTAATTTTCTGCTAAAATAATGCTTTCTGATATGTACAAAAATCATACTCCAAGTTCATTACAGAAAATCTGGAATATACAGACAGACTCCAAGAAGAAATGCAAGTCACCCTCACGGCGGCAGGGGTAACAGCGGGCGGCTGGTGTCTTTCCAGCCAGTGTTACAACATAGGGATCCCACTCTATGTCCTGTTTCGTAACCTTTTTCTCACTTATCGTCACATCGCAAACATTTTCCCAGGTTCTTACATTTTCTTCGGCAACTTTCACAGAGGAATAACCTGTGATTGCTCGTGTCCTGCCCAGGGTGCTGCCAGCCATGCACCAGAGTGTCCCCCACAAACAGCCCCCTCCCACTGTCCTCTCCACCCCCCACATATGCCCACCCTATAACTGGACCCTCTGCTCCCTGGCATCTCTGGAAAGTTCATGGCATTCCCTCGGCCTTCCTCCTTAGAGATAAGGGTCTCCTCCAGTCTTGCCAATGGCGTGTCCCCATCCTTCCACCATCCTGTCTTCCCCTGTCGGAATCACCCTGCCCCCTTCTCACACCCTCGCTCAGTCACACCCCCCCTCCTGTCCCCCATTCTCACGGGACTTGCAACCATGCAATTCCTTCAGGAGGGGCATTAGGCAATGCTTGTTGCAATGGGCAGAGAAACAGAGGAGACGATGCCAGCGAGGGCACCGGAGGCTTCAGTGTGGGAGTCCCTCCCGGGGATACAGGTGAATTGTGAGCAGGGGCCTCTGAGGCACAGAGCCTTTACCAGAAAGGGTCTGTCTCTCCGGGTGTGATTTCCAGCCACCAGACAGGACCTGCGAGAGCTGTTTTGGTAGAGGGAACTCTTTTGATGTACTTTACACCCTAACAGGGAGGTGGAGGCCTAATCCACCCGAGGGTGGGGCAGCCCGGGCGCCGTGCCCCATTAGGGTGGAATGAAAGGCTTTTGAAGGTGGTGGCTCAAGACAGGTGGCTTCTTGATTCTAGCCAAGGCGTCTCAGCCAGGGTGGGGCTGGAGGGGTCTGTGCAGACAGCCGGCAGGAGGGGGGAGCCTGGGTGGGGAGGACGGAGAGCGGGTTTCCCCCAGACTCCTCTGCCTGCGACCTGTGCTGAGTGGCGGCAGGCAGGTGCCGGTGCTGCCCTGGCATCGGTGTCAGACCAGCACCTCGCACCGACCTGGCAGGTTTCCTACGGATCAGATGAGGTCGTTCAGTAAAAGCGCTTTGCAAGGGTGAGTCCCCATGTCAGGTGTGGGTAGGCCAGCTGCCTCTTCTCTTTTTTTGGAAGGTGCTGCCAGCAGCTTCATGTTAAAGACATTTCCTCCCTGCCTGCGTTTGCCCCTACACACGAGGTGGGAGTGGGGGAGGGGAGTGGTGCTCCTGGGCTCCCAGGTTCTGGCCCCCTCTTCCTGCCCCCAGGCCTGCTCAGACCGCGTTACTGGAATGAATTAGGGGTCCGGGCCAGGTTCATCTGAATAATGCGTGGGGTGCCTACTGTCCTGGTTGCCTGGGACTGAGGGGCTTCCCAGGACCAGGACTGTCAGCGGGAGACGGCTGGTGGGTCGGGGGGGGGGGGGGGGGGGTGGTTTTGTCTGCTGCAGTGTCTGTGTGCAGGGTGCGTATTGTGTGCTTCGTGCCTGCGAGCAGTGGTGTGTGGACACGCAGGGACACAGCTTTGAGTGTTGGGTGTATGTCGCTGAGTGTGTGAAGATGTGACGTTTGCATGTGTTTGTCGGCTGCGTCCACGTGCGTAGGGCTGGTGTGGTGTGTCCTCCTGGATGTGGGAATGTGTGCATGACGTGTGTGCGCAGTGAACGTGTTTGCTTCGGCGGGGAGGTCCGTGTAGATCCTGTGTCTGGTGTGGGGTGGAATGTGCAGACGCCAATCATGTCAGGAGTGGACAGTGTGTTGTGGTGCTTGTGTGACGTCTAACTCTGTGTGTGACGTCCAACTCCGCGTGTGATGTCCAACTCCACGTGTGACGTCTAATCCGTGTGTGACGTCCAACCCCGCGTGTGGGTGACCCGTGGTCTCTTGGCAAAATCCATGGCGTTTGCGGTGCATGTGTAAGCGGTGCACTGTATGCGCTGTTTGGTGTGTGTGGGATGTGCTCATGTCCTCGGCGAGCAGCGCGAAGGCCGTGCGTGCGTGTGTGCGGGTGTGTGTGTGTGCGCGCGCGCGCGTGTGTGTGTTCCGCGAGGCGCCGAGATGTGCCGTGCCTTGCGCATGCTCCGTGTGCGGGAGCTTGGGCTCTGCTCGGCGGCGAGATGGCTGTCATCCGGGCCGAAAGCCCGCTGTGCTGTCGCCTGAGCTGAGGTACCTGCGCCGGGTGTGCGGTGCCCACACGTGCACGACGCTCGGGTGGGGAGGGGGTGGCCGGAGGGCGGGCACCATCCACCGTGGGGCCGGTCCCGGTCGCCAGGACATGTCCGGGCTGGACCCCTGGCCGCCGCGGCCGCCGCCCCGGACCGAGCCGCGGGGCATTCTGGGAAGCGGGGCCACGCCCGCCGCAGGGGCCGCTGGGAAGCGGCGGCGCGGGCGGTGGCGGCGGCGGCGGCGGTGGGAGAGGGGCCGCGGCGTCGCTCCTCGCCCGCGGGGCTGGGCTCCGTGAGGGCCGCCCGGCGCTGAAACGGCCTTCGCCACGGCGCCTGCGGACCGAGCGCCAGCCCGGCGCGCGCTTCCCGTCTCCGCACCGCCCGCCTCCGCGGGGCGCGTCCGGGGGTGGAGGGCCCGCCCTCGCGCGTCCCGGACGCCCCCACTTGCTGCCGGTGACCGTGCGGCGAGAAAACCACAGGAAAACTCAGCTCGCGGGATGGCCCGCCCTGCGCCCCCCCAAACCTGTGCAGAGGTGCTCGCCCACATCTCTTTCCGAATTCCTCCCCCGGATGGAAAGTGCGGTGAAAACACGGTCGGGAGAATAAAGAAGTTACAGCCTGTTTGTATAAAATGCACCTTTCCAGGGAGTATGCAGTTGAATAATGAAGAAGCTCATTGTCCAAAATGACATTTAATACCCATTGCGAGGTGAAGGATTCGCGTCTCTTTTTTAAATCTACATGGTCCTGCCTCGGATTGGCTTCCCATTGAAACGCTCGATTTAATCCATGTTGGGAAGTTGATGCCGATTCCAGCTGCAGAAGCGCGGGGTTCTCGCCGGTGCGAGCGGCTTCCCCTGTGTTGTGGCCGGAGGAGGGCGAGGAGCTGCGCACCTGGGCTTGCAGCTACTCAAGGATTTTGCGAGCCCGTCGTTGAACCTCTGGCGGTGTTTACACCGTGGAAACGGGCTGCCCTCCCGCCCCTGCCGGGCCGGTTCACCAGCACACTCCTGGCTGTCTGTCTCTTCCTGTCTCCCCAGAACCTGATTCACATGGACCCCCAAGTAGAAGCTGAGGCTGGGTGCTGGGGAGACAACCAGCACGCTCAGTGGTTGTGGGAGAAAACGTTGTAAACTTGGGGATGAGCTATCACTCATAATTATAGTTCACTTTACTTAATAATTATTAAGCATTTACTATATGCCAGGCATTAATGAGACACTTTATATGTGTTAACTCATTTGATCTCCACAATAACCTTATGAGGTGGCTCTCATTAATATTCCCTTTTTCTTTTTGGATGGAGAAACGGAGGCTCGGCTAAATAAACTTGACCAAGGTTATACAGAGAGCAGGTGGGAGCACTTGGCTTTGACCCCAGGCCGTCTAACTCCAGGACCCATGCTCTAACTAGCATGCTACCCTGCCTGTAACATACCGGTTAGGTTATGCTGCAGCAGCAACCCCAAGCCCCAGTGTCTTACAATAATAAAGGTGTACTCTTGCTCACATGACTTACTGACGGTGTGTCCGCTGTGGTTTTGCTTTGCGCGTCGTGTTCTGGGATCCAGGCTAAAGGAGCAGCCCCTATCTTGGCCGTTCTCCGAGAAAAGAGCAGTTGTGATGTGTAGCACACATCACTTCCCATCACAGTCCATCCGTCTGAGCACGTCCACATACACTTCTGCTTGACTCCATGGGGGCTGAGAAATACATTCCCCTCCCCGCCAGGCACTCACGGCGAGTCATGTGGCAACCTGTTCAGTAGCGAATGATCGGAAACTCCTTCAGGTTCCCTAGAAGTAGACCCTGAGTCAAGGATGTGGTGAGTGATTTATGAAGAAGTATTCCTGTGAGAATCCAGAAAAGGAATGGGGAGCAGGACAGGAAGGGAGACAAGGCTAAGGGTGTAATTTCAGGCCAAGTCCCGGGCTAAGCCTCATCCTGCAGGGAGTCCTGGGGTGTAAATTATACCTCAGACTCTATCCCAACTCCAGGCAGCGGAGCTAGGCTTTCCTGTTTCCACAGCTGTCAGTCACTGGTCGAGGACATCTCCGGGGGTACACACTAGTAAGTAACGAGGCACTCGTGGCTCTCGGAACCTGGGTGAAGCAGCGAGAATGGAGGCTAGAATACAATGGAATTATATCTCCATCGCCACAAGGAAGGGGCATGTGTTTTCCATGGAGAGGCCACATGTAGGTGTCTGGCAGCCCTGTAGCAGTCCTTCCGGAAGAGTCACAAATGCCTGGCTCTTAGACACAAAAGTCACAGAAATTGGAACAGAACCTAAAAAGGGATCTGAGAAGATCTGGGCAGAGCACCAAAAATGTCCCCTAAAGGAACATTAAAGCCATCTACCACACTGCCTCTATTTTATACTGTCTTATTTTGACCTCAAAGGTATGACATGATTTCTCCTATTGGCATGTGTTTATTTTTTGTTGTTTTATTTTAATCCTCACCCAAAGACATGCTTAGACAGAGGAAGGAAGGGAGAGAGGGAGAGAGAAACATTGATGTGAGTGGAAAACATTGGTTGGTTGCCTTCCATACGTGCCCTAACCAGGGATGGAACCCGCAACCCAGGTACACGTCCTGACTGAGAATTGCACCGGCGACCTTTCCGTGCACAGGACGACGCTCAACCAACGGAGCCACCCTGGCCGGGCGGCATGTTTTTGATGCCAAGCTGAGAGCCACAGTTTGCTCCTTTGAAAAGGACAGGCAATGGGAGTCATTACCGGGCTCTCAGTAAATCCGTGTAGTATTTGATGAGCACATGTGTCTGACACTGAAATCTTCCCAGAGTGAAGAAAGATGTGTGTAATACTGCAGTGCCGTTCTGGCAGCAATCACCAGAGTGAGCACAGCCTCCACAGGCTAGAGCACAGTCCCCAGTGAGACTGCCCTACTCAGATGCAGCTGCAAGTTCAGGGGTCCCCAGGCCATCCTTACTGCTGACCAGTTGGCTACAAATGTCAGGACCTCAGGTACCATAATTTGCTAGGATGATTGACAGAACTCAGCAAAGTGCTATACTTAATGATTACAGTTTTGTTATAAAGGATACTAACCAGAACCAGCTAAATGAAGAGACACATAGAGTAGGCCTGGGAGGGTCCCAAACATGGACTTCCCATGAGCCCTCCCTGTGGAATCAGGATACATCACCTTCCCAGCACATCAATGCATTCACTAAGCTCTAGGTGTCCAGAATTTTTATTGGGGTTTCATTATATATGCATGATTCTTGATTATGCTCAATCTCTAGCCCCTTTCGCCTCCCCAGGGGAAGTTGGGCTGACATCAAGGCTCGAGTCCCCAGCCCTCTAATCACATGGTTGGTCTTTCTGGTGTGACCAGCCCCCATCCTGAGTCATCATTAACATAAGCTCAGATGTGGTCTAAGGGCCCCACGGTGATTAACAAAGACACTCCTATCACTCAGGAAAATCCGGAAGGCTTTTGTTTTGTGTGTGTGTTGTTTTCTTTTATTAATTTCAGAGAGGAAAGGAGGGGGGAGAGAGAGAGAGAGAAAGAGATCAATGATGAGAGAGAATCATTGATCAGCTGCCTTTTGCACATTCCCTACTGGGAATTGAGCTTGCAACTCGGGCATGTTCCCTTGACTGGAATTGAACCCGGGACCCTTCAGTCCGCAGGCCGATGCTCTATCTGCTGAGCCAAACCAGCTAGGGCAGTGGTCGGCAAACCACGGCTCTCGAGCTACATGTGGCTCTTGGCCCCTTCAGTGTGGCTCTTCCACAAAATACCGACTTCTGGGCATGGGCCACAAAGTTTCAATTGCACTGTACGTGCACGCCCGCACGTGGTATTTTGTGGAAGAGCCACACTGAAGGGGCCAAAGAGCCGCATGTGGCTCATGAGCCGCGGTTTGCCGACCACGGAGCTAGGGCAACCCGGAAGGTTTTAGAAGTTCCTTTCTAGGACCCTAGGACAAAGACCAGACAGATACCTTATTGTATAACATGTATTATCAGGTTGAAGAATCATATTGAACCGGAGCAGAATATTTTTAATTCTGTGGGTAGATATACTAGTATATACTAGTAAATAAAAGAGCAAACAGAATACACCAAAGACAGAAAAAAAAATCTTAAATGCAACCAGGGAAATAAGACATAACTTAAAAAGGAACAAAAATAGAGTAACAGCAGACTTCTCTTCAACAGCAATGGAGGCTAGAATACAATGGAATTGTATCTCCATTGCCACACCATGCCACAAGGAAGGGGCATGTGTTTTACAAGGAGAGGCCACATGTAGGTGTCTGGCAGCCCCAGCTGAGGCTCCATTCAACAGCCAGCACCAGCCTCCAGCCAGGTGAGTGAGTGAGCCTTCAGGTGAGCCAGTCCCAGCCTTCAAGCCACCCCTGCGGAGCCCTGCCCAATCCATGGACTTAAAAGAAGTGATGGTTGTTTTAATCCTCCAAGTGGGGGTGGTACCATGCACGGCAATAGGTAACTGGGAAACATGTGAGCCTTTTTTAAAAAAATATGTTTTTATTGATTTTAGAAAGGAAGGGAGAGATAGAAACGTCAATGATGAGAGAGAATCATTGATTGGCTGCCTCCTGCATGCCCCACAATGGGATCAAGCCTGCAACCCAGGTGTGCCCTTGACCGGAATCGAACCTGGGACCCTCCAGTCCGTAGGCTGACACTCTATCCACTGAGCCAAACCGGCTAGGGCTATGTGAGCCCTTTTTACTCACTACTTAAAAGCTGCTGTGCTCGGTTGGAGCCCTTTGGGAGCTCTTAACCCAGACATCTCCTTTGCCAATTGACAGGAAGTCCAAACCTTATCAATTATTTTGAGTTTCCTCTTGCTCTAAAGCTTCTTTGGTTTCCAGGAAGAGAAGAAATGTCCCGTTTATCTCAGGAGAGGGAGTTTAAGGAAAGGCTACCAGGGCCCCTGGGAAGCCAAGAGCAGGAACTGTGGAGACGGCAGCCGCCACGTGTGCTGTGGGAGCTGGGCTGCCACTGCCTGCACATGGACTGCTCTCAGCACAGGCGGGCTCATGCCCCCGTTCAGCAGTGGGTCACCACCTCCCCCACTTCCCAGTCCCCCTTCCACATCAGCGTTTATGATTCAAGAGCCACTACTGACTCAGCGCCCGGTTTCCAGTTTTTGGAGAGGCATCTGATGGGAGCAGCTCCTCTGCTCAGCAAGGTCCCTCGAGGCACACGTAGCCGAGCTAATTACATCTGAGGCCTTGGCCAGGTGTCCATCTTGGAGCAATTCGCTGGGACCCTGCAGGGCAAGCTTTGGGTGAGGGGTCCCCCAGAAGGGGTGTGGGTGGGCCATGCAGTGATTGACCTCTCCAGAGCAGCTCCTCATTGAGGCTGTTAACTCCTGGCCAGCAAACGGAAGCTGAGATGGGCTCAGCGTGAGCTGCGGAGGAGGCAGCACATGACCAGGAACGGCCAGCGCAGGGACCACCGGGCGCGGGAGGATGAAGAGGAGCCTGTCTGTCAGCAGACGTGGGACCTGCACGCCTTGGTACAGTGCGTAGGTGGCACTTCACCTTGAAGGCGCCGTGGTGTCCTACATACGGTCTCTGGAGTTCAATAGACTCCAAGTTCAAACTCCAGGTCAGCTATTGTTTTAAAAATATATTTGTTATTGATTACAGAGAGGAAGGGAGAGGGAGAGAGAGAGAAATATCTATGATGAGAGAGAACCATTGATTGGCTGCCTCCTGCACACGCTCCACTGGGGATCGAGTCTGCAACATGGGCATGTGCCCTGACCAGGAATCGAACTGTGACCTCCTGGTTCATAGGTCGACGCTCAACCACTGAACCACACTGGCAGGGCTCCAGGTCAGCTAATTTAAAAGCTGTGAGACCTCAGGCAAATTACCCTCTCTGGGCCTTAATTTCTTCATCTGTGAAATGGGGATAACAGTACCAGCCTCGTGTGTGGGAATTAAATGAAATAACTGTTAGGTGTTTAACACAGGATCTGGCTCATCGCAGTCACTCGCTGAATGTGAACTCTCTCTTTTCCTCCCCTTGGGACCCGGAGCACCGCTTTCCCAGTGGTGAGATGTGTTGGGGCAAAGATCCTGTGACCAGAGGTGGTAAGGCTTCTCACCCCAATTACTCACACCCTCAAAGGAGTTCCCTGCCTCAGGGCTTTGCACCTTGCAAAGGTGAAGCAAGCCTGCATGGGTCCAGAGCCGCCAGATGGTCCGTCCCGCCTCACCCTTTTTCAATCCCTAAAAATCTGCAAAACAGAGAATTAGACCGCAAATGGTTTGGAGTCATAACCACGAAACGTGCACGTTAGAAATCGATGAACAGAAACATGTGGTGCAGCAACACTGAAGCAATGCTCCTGGGCGGGCCCCCTCGTTTTACGAGTTCACTGACAGTGTGAACCCCAGGCAGACCTCCCCCCTGAAGACTGGCGGTCCTGGGCAGCTCAGGCAGCCTGGCAGCTCTGCACAGCGGGAATGCCGGGAATGCCCAGCACAACGCATCCAGTGCCGGCGCCGAGGGAGGGAGGGGAGGGGAGGGGAGGGAGGGAGGGGAGGGGAGGGGAGGGGAGGGGAGGGGAGGGGAGGGGAGGGGAGGAGCACTGGAGGACAGGGGGGGGAGTCCAGGCCTGGGGTTCAGGCCCACCTTGTTGCTGACTCGCTCTGTGTCCTCAGGCAGGTCCTGGTCCCTCTCCAAGCCTGGCCTCCACAGCCGTAAAATAGGAAGGTTGGACCCAATGATTCCTAAGAGGCCTCCAACTCACATAGGGAAGGGGCATCTCAGCGGTTAAAAGAACCCTGGGAGTCACCCAGACATCGCTGGAGTCCGGTCCGCTCAGGTTCCTGGGGTGTGAACTGGGGATGGATTAGAGTGCAAGGTTGTGAAGATTGGGAAAGATAATCCGTGAATGCACGTAGCACAATGCCTTGCCCATGGTAAGTTTTTGATGAATGTGAGATATTATTGTTAGTGCGTGGGGATTTAAAATCTACTTTGGGGAGCATGAATCATGATGGCCTGGGAGGCTCCCGGGGCCAGAATCAGCGGGTTTATGGAGCATCGAAGAGGAGAAATTCCCGCATGTACAGCCAAGTCCTTGCTCCTTCAATGAACAAGCTTCCCATTTTTGATATGTTTTGGGTGGGGGGGTGCTCAATAATCTTGAAAGTCTGGCTTTGGGGAGAAGGACATGATTTTGTAAATCTTTTCAGCCTGGAGGACTTGACCATGAAGGTTAGCATAAGCCAGGCCACAGAGACTCAGAATGTGGCCCTTCTCTGACAGGCCTGCCCCAAGTCTACTGGATGAGTCTCTCGGGGCCCCAGTTACTGCTTCTTGTCAGGCAAGTTTGGGAGCCTGGGCACGTGGGGACCCGAAGGCGGGGGCAGAGGAAGCAGTGGGCTCCGTGTGTGAGAACTGCCCCCCACGGTGGCCTGGGGAGACGGGGAGGGAAGGGAGGTAACTGAATATTCTCTCTTAGATGCAGGTGAAGCCAGAACAAAGATGCCAACTGGCTAGTTGTCCCTCCCTTCCTCAGCTCCCACTCCCTGAGGTGGGGCTCAGCGGCAGATTAAATCAGTAACAGGAAAAGAAAAAAAGGAACGATATCTTCATTGCACATCTGAGTGAGTGAGTGAGTTGTTGCTCTTATTATGTCACATCATCGTCATCAAAATGTCACACCCTTGGGGGCCCACATCCTTCTGATAGAGGCCCTCCCGTCCTCGTCTCCAAGAGGCCTCCAGCCCCGCAGCCTGGCAGGTCTGAGGGCCCACAGGAGCACAGGGTGTGGGCCCCTTTATGTCCCGGAAGCTGCCCTTGCCCTTGGGGCGAGGACCAGAACTCGCCCTTCCCCTCTGGCTGGGAGCGGTCTGGGCAGGAGGCTGGGGGTTAAATCCTCCCCAAGGAATGGCACAGCCACGGCTTAAAGCAGCGGTTCTCAGCCTGTGGGTCTCGACCCCTTTGGGGGCTCGAACGACCCTTTCACAGGGACCACCTAAGACCATCAGAAAACACATATATAATTACATATTGTTTTTGTGATTCATCACTATGCTTTCATTATGTTCAATTTGTAACAATGAAATTGGGGGTCACCACAACATGAGAAACTGTATTAAAGGGTCGCGGCATTAGGAAGGTTGAGAACCACTGGCTTAAGGGGTGAGCCCACAGGTGAGCTGAAGTCCCAGGTCACGGCTCCCCTGGCCTGGCATCCGAGGCGCCCCTCTCCTTCCTCTCTGAAATCAATAAAAATATAAATAAATAAATAAAGTACTTGACCAGCCCTGGCCAGTGTGCTAATTGGTTAGAGCATCCGCCCGAACACCAAAGGGTAGAGGGCTCCATTCCCGTTCAAGGGCACGTACCTGGGTTGCAGGTTCAATTCGGCCCAGATCTGTCTGAGTGCATGCAGGAGGCAGCCAATCTCTCTCTCTCCTCCTCCTCCTCTCCCCCTCCCTCCCTTCCACTCTAAAAATCAATGGGAAAATATCCTCAGGTGAGGATTAATTTTTTAAAAAAGTACTTTTATAAACATATTATCTGACCCCTTCAAAAACTCTGGGAGGTAGTCAGGGCAGGTACTGTTCATTATCATTACAGTTCTTCCCATTTTACAGATGAGAGACTGAGGCTCCTAAGGGGGAATTACACACCCAAGTCCCACAGCTGGCTAGTGGCAGATTCAGAATCGAAACCCAGGTCTCTTGAAGTGAATCTTTGTTGGACAGTTTGCTTTGTTTGTTTGTTTTAAAATATATTTTTTTATTGATTTCAGAGAGGATGGGTGAGGGAGAGAGAGATTAAAAACATCAGTGATGAGAGAGAATGATTGATCGGCTGCCCCCTGCACGCCCCACATTGGGGATGAAGCTCGAAACCCGGGCATGTGCCCTGACTGGGAACCGAACCCTGACCTCCTGGTTCACAGGTCGACGCTCAAGCACTGAGCCACGCCGGCGGCCGGAAGGGCAGTTTGGTTTGTAATCGCTAGTGGTGTCCTGCCACCAAGAAGAGTCTGCTTGGACATGTGCTCACCGAGGCAAGGCAGGTGAGGACCGCGGTTCGGCCCTCGGATAGGCCTAGTTGTGTCCGTTGAAGTTGGCCACGGCTACAGGCCTCTGCTCGGACCGCACTGAGGGCTCGCCAAGAATCCTTGCCTAGGAATTCCGTAGGAGGCTGGAGCCCAGGGCGCGCAGGGCCTGGGTCTTGCTGCCTTTATTCTCCCAGCACCGAGCCGGCTCTTGGGGCTCCATCCATGTTTGCCCACGGAGACATTTCGAGGGGCTAAGGGTCTGAGTTTTGCTCCCTCCCCAGCCACATGTCCCAGCATCCAGAGCGCCCCCCTGCTTTGTTCCTCGGGATGAATAACAGGCAGTTAGGAGCCCCAGCTCTTTAGCAGCACCGGCGGGTCTTGGCGGGGCAGACCCAGCTCTGCACAGCCAGGGTTTTATTCCTGCTAAACAACAACAAAACCGCAGCGCGCGACGTCGGGAAACTGACCCAGTCAGCAAAGATGACCCCTAATCTGCCGCCTGACACAACCGCTATTTTGAAGAATTCCCTTCCACTAGAATTCCTCCCTTCCTCTCTCCCTCCTTTTCTTCCTCCCTCCCTCCTTCCTCCCTCCCTCCATTTCCCCTCCCTTCCTCTCTTCCTCCCTCCGTCCCTCTGTTCCTTCCTTCCTTCCTTCTTTCTCTCATGAAAATAATACAAAATATTTAATATTTTAAAAATCACCTCATCTCTCACATCTAGAGACAACCACTGTGAACATTCTGCCTATTTTCTCCCATTCTTTTTCAATGCTTTGTTTTAATACATGAGATTATACTGAATATACAATTATCTTAGTACATATGTATTTCCTGGTGTTGCTATTTTTTTCTAATAATAACAATATGTATTATTGAAATTTCTGGGAAAATACAAGAAAAGAGGGAAATAAAAATTACCTAAAATGTTCCTCCCACAAATAGAAACTTTACATGCATTTATTACATAGTTATAATCCTACTGAATGTAGTTTTTAAATTTTTCCCACCTGTCTTATAATCATTTTCCAATGTTGCCTCATAGTCTTTATAATTAGTTTATTTTTTGTTTTAATTTTTAACAGGTAACACATTTACATGGCATAATATTTTAAAAGATTCGGATATTCGATGGAAAGATTTCTTCCCACCTCGTTCCCCACTTGCTCATTTTTCTCCCACGGCTCACCACTACCCACTTCCTGTGAACCCTCCCCGAAGGCCCTTCTATGCAGAGCTAAACAAATACATGTATATTTATATTAGAGGCCCGATGCATGAAATTCGTGCAAGGAGTGCGGCCCTCGCAGCCGCTGTGGCTTGCCTGGGCCCTCACAGCCCCGGCTTCCTCCAGAAGGTCATCCGGAAGGACGTCCGGAAGGTCGTTCGGCTGTCTGATCTAATTAGCATATTACACTTTTATTATTATAGATATGTTCCTTCCCCAGCTTACCACCACCACCCCCCCCCCCCCCCGCCATTTTTTAAACAAAGAATAATGAACTACCACACTTTTCCTCACCTTCCTTTTTAATTCAACACTATGTCTTAGAGGTCTTCCTATGTATATTCAAGAAGCGCCTCCTCGGTGGATTTTTGCACCTCAGAGGATTCCCCTCAAGGGAGGCGTAGCATAATGTATCAAACTAGACTCCAGAGATGAGCGTTTAAGTTGTTTCCAACCTGTTGAAAAAAATGCTACAGTGACCAACATTGTACAGACATCATTGTACCTGCGTGAGCATCCGTGTGTCAGTAAACTCCTAGAAGTGGAGTTGTGGGGTCCAAAAGAGAATGCATTTCTAGTTCTTAGTATTTTTTTTTTATTATTATTATTGATTTCAGAGAGAGGAGGGAGAGGGAGGGAGAGATAGAAACATCAAAGATGAGAGAGAATCATTGGTTGGCTACCTCCTGCACGCCCCCCACTGGGGATGTAGCCTAAAAACCAGACATGTACCCTGACCGGGACTCAAACCGTGGCCTCCTGGTTCATGCGTGGACGCTCGGCCCCTGAGGCCCGGCTGCATTTGTACTGTGTTATGGCCAAGCCGCCCTGTGCAGGCTGGCAGCCCCAGCACACGCTCTGACCCAGTGGCGAGCCTCGCTTACTTTCCCCTCTATATTACCCTAAGTAAAGGGGCCAGCTTCAGGCAGAAACCAGCTTCCCTTTTGGCCCCCAAATGCCACCTGCACTGTGTTGAAGGCTATGAGACGACAGGTATTTGCTGGGTGCTGAGCAGCGGGGATGCACAGAGCACAGTGCTGGCCTGGGAGCTGGTAGAGCTGGCGGGGTGGCGGGGTGAGGAGGGAGGGCCAGTTTTGCTCTCCTAAGACAGCACCCAGGAGAGCAGGGTGGAGAGCCAGCACTCAAAACACGTCCAGTGGATAAACGATAAATTAACTGGATGTCCCATGTGGAGGACGGGGAAGGCACCCATTTCACAGATGAGGAAACTGAGGCCCAGGAGGTGAGGTGGACTGCCTGGGGCCACACACAGTCACAGGCAGAGCTGGGTCTAGAAAAAGGGCTCCTGACGCTGCATCTCATGCTCTCTGCTCTGGACAAGGGGACGGAGGTCAGGATGGTGACTTACATGTGACGTGACGCTGGGGCCCAAGAGGAAAGATGAAGGGCAGAGCTGGAGGCAGAGGCAGAGACTGGAGGCAGAGGGGTGCGGGTGTGGGTCAGCTACCCACACCTGTTCCAGTTGCTGGGTTATAAATCCTCTAGGAATTCCAGATATTCCACTCACGTCCAAGTCCCCTGCAGGGTTTAGAGGCAGAAGAGGCCCAGAGAACAGGGGCCGGGCTGAGGGAGGGGGTGGCCAAGGACACAGGTTCAGGAACCACCTGAGGGAAGCCGTCCCTGCTTGCCCTCCCGGGGCCCAGGATGGCTTCTAGCAATGACTCCGGGCTTGCAGGCCGTGTCCTGTCCACCCAGCCAGATGGGAGGGGGGCAGCAGCCCAGACCCCTCTGCTTCCTGGAGCAAGGGTAGGCGGCTGCTCCTCTCCTGGGGACATGACTGCCCTTTGGAAGCTGCTCTGGGAGTTCACCAGAACTTGATTTTATCTGCGTGAAATCCGCCGGACAGTCTGTCTCACCTTGGAATTTAGCTCTGGAATACCTTTCTGTGTACCCCGAGTCCTGACCATCCCCAGCAGGGGTCCCAGGGGTGAGGGCACGTGCTTTCCTTTCCCCGGAGGTAGAGGAGGAAGAGCAGACAGACCTGAATGAAATGACGGAACAGCCGCCGACTTCAGGGCTGGCGTCTTCGGGTTCCTGGGCTCCTGGGAACCCTCACAGCACCCTCTCTGTGAGCAGGTGGTGTCAGCCCCCTTTTACAGACAGGGAAACTGAGGCCCAGGAGGTCGTGTCACTTGTTCCAGGACACAGAGAGGAAAAGGCCAGGGCTCTGTGGCTAAGTGCCCAGCCCCACCCCACACCTCCGCGAGCTGCCCTGGACCGCCCCTGGCTTTTCAACTGTAAACTCACATCCTGAGCCACTGAAAACACTGGATCAGTGTTCTTCCAAAGTGTGGGATTATAGTTCATAGTAAGAAACGCATTGCCCTGGCCAGTGTGGCTCAGTCGGTAGGAGTGTTGTCCCAGCCACCAAAAGGTTGTGGGTTCAATTCCGGGTCAGGGCACATACCTAGATTCTGAGTTCAATGACCAGCCCCCCTCAGGGTGTGTGGGGGAGGCAACCGACTGATGTCTCTCTCTCTCTCTCTCTCTCTCTCTCTCTCTCTCTCTCTCTCTCTCTCACACACACACACACACACACACACACACACACCTTCCCCTTTCTCTAAAAATCAATGAAAATGTTCTTGGGTGAGGAGGAAGGAAGGAAGGAAAGAAGGAAGGAAGGAAGGAAGGAAGGAAGGAAGGGAGGGAGGGAGGGAGGGAGGGAGGGAGGGAGGGAGGGAGGGGGGGGGAGGGATCACCACAGTGCAGCAAACAGACACACAAACATAATTCATAGCACTTAGAATGCTGTGTCATTATTTTACAAATATGTAAAACCGAACACAAGGTTTATGAACTGTTTCCTCTTACTGCCTGGGATGCACTCTGGCATTTTGGACTCTACCCTCCTGTGTCGTTGTTGTTACTTTTGTTAATCCTCACTGGAGGATGTTTTTTCCATTGATTTTTCAGAGAGAGTGGAAGGGGGGACGAGGAGGTGAGAGAGAGAGAAACACCACTGGTTGCCTCCTGCACACACCGGAGCTGGCTGAGGATGAAACCTGCGACCCGGGGACTTGCCCTTGACCGGGAATCGAACCCTTGACCCTTCGGCCCACGCAGACACTCTAACCACACCGGCCAGGGCTGTGTCATTATTTTTGGAAAGCGCTCAGGTGAGTCACCAAGCTGATCCTATCTCCTGAACTCTGACGGCACCTAGGTGGCTGGCAGCCCCTCCCCGCCCGCCTGTCTGCAGGTGGGAAGCGGGCAGTGAGGGCCCAGGCACTAAGTGCAGACCTTGAACTGCGCCTCTGGGGACCCAGGAAAGGAGTCAGGGCCTGGGTCTCGCCCTCCAGGCACTCAGACCTCCCACAGGTGCCGCCAGGGCGGGGCGAATTCAAGGCAGATGCTAGTCAGTACTGGGCTGCCGTAAGAGATGCCGCAGGCTGGGCGACTTACACAGACTTACCTCCTCGCTGATCTGGAGGCTGGAAGCCCACGATCAAGGTGCCAGAGGCTTCGTTTCTCCGGGCCCCTCCTGGGTCCCTCCTGGGCTGCAGACGCGCCCACGGCCTCGGCACCGGGTGCCCCTCTGCGCGGGCGCGGGCGGGCCTCTGGGTCCCACTGGCCTCTTGGGCGGAGGACACGGATGGGGTGAGGGCCTCGCCTTAACTTAGCCACCTCTTCAAAGACCCCGTCTCCAAACGCGGCCACATTCCCAGGCGCCGGGGAGCGAGGGCTTCAACAGAGGCACTTGGGGGGACACGACTCGCTCCATCAAAGAACCTACTATGTGCGCAGCTCACTAGCTCGCGCGCCTTCAGGGGGCGCTGTGGGCCTCGTTCCTGCTGGAGAGGCGAGGAGGCTGGCTCTGGGGGTGGTCCGCCGCTCGCAGGTCACGGTGCGGTGGGGTCCCTGCCCGCCCGCACGCACGCGGCCTTCCGGGAGAAGCAGGCTGCGTGTTAAAAGGCCACCGATTCGCAAGAACCCGGAGGGACGGGCCCCCTGGAACTCAGCCCGCCAGCCCGTCTCATCCGGGAGGAAGCAGGCAGGCGCGGAGGGCGCTGCGATGCTCGGCCGCTGCGGGTCTGCGTGGGAAGCGGCGGCGGCGCTGATGTCCGCGGCCCGGGCTCCGCACGCTCAGAGGAGACCCGGGTGTTGGCTGGAGACGGGACCCGAGCGGCTGGGGGAGGCGGGACCGAGCAGGGAGGGTCTCCGCTCGGTGCCCGGCCTCTAGCTGCCGAGGTGAGCGCTGCGCCCGAGGACAGCGAGCGAGGGCCTGCGACGCACGCCCGGAGCGCGCCCTTTCCCGCGGGCTGCAAGGAGCCGGGTCGCCTTTCTCCCGGCGCCCCCCCTCCTGCCGCGCCCCCTGGGACTCTCCAGGTCCTCCCGTGTCCTCACACCAGTCGCCCTTCCACGAAGATGAACCGCCTTGCGAAGCGCCTGTTCTGTAGCCAGAAGGCCCGCCCGGCGGAGAGTGCCCGCCCGGCGGAGAGTGCCCGCCCGGCGGAGAGTGCCCGCCCGGCGGAGAGTGCCCGCCCGGCGGAGAGTGCCCGCCCGGCGGAGAGTGCCCGCCCGGCGGAGAGTGCCCGCCCGGCGGAGAGTGCCCGCCCGGCGGAGAGTGCCCGCCCGGCGGAGAGTGCCCGCCCGGCGGAGAGTGCCCGCCCGGCGGAGAGTGCCTGCGAACCACCCGCCCTCCAGGGGCAAAGCGAGATTTCACAGTAACTTCGAAAGAAGTGCTAATAGTGAAGTCGTAATAAAATTCCCAGGAAGGGACGAGGTTTGAGTATATGTTACTTTGTTTTTAATGTATTTGACTGTGCGTTTATGTCATGCATTCTCAACAGGGGTGACAGTGGACTCCTGGTGGGGGAACGTCTTGCTCTTTTCATACATAAAGCACAGATTCATGTCCAGGGTATAAATAGACATACAGTATGTCTGTGATATTAAGGTTTCATGAGGAGGGTGGTCGGAGGTTGGGAAAACATGTCAGAAAGGCTCCGCAGGAGGCAGTAATGGACAACAGCTGAGAAGCCCTGGTTCATATAATTTAAGTTTTAACGGTGGCTGGGGTCAACAGGCAGCTCACACAACTCCCGAATTTAACCGCTGCACTTGCAAGCCTGTAGGAGCTGGCTGCAGCACACCCCGGGCCTGCCTCCTGGAGGGAGAGGGGGGAACCCCCTCTGCCAAACATCGGGTGCTCTGGCCCCTGCTCCCTAAGGCTGCAGGCTTCCTGGGCCCCCATAGAGGCGGCTCAAGGAGGGACCGAGCCCCCAGGGCCTCTCCTTCCCGGACTCCAAGCCTTCCCTATCTCCCCAGGATTCCCTGGAACAGGCCCTGTTCTACGCTAGAACCTCTGGTAAAATGTGGAACTTTCCGTCCTGGTGCATGTCAGACAGTGATGTGAACATGGAGAGCTTCTAAAAATACACCGAGCCCTAGCCGGTTTGGCTCACTGGATAGAGCGTTGGCCTGCGGGCTGAGGGGTCCCAGGTTCGATTCTGCTCGAGGGCATGTACCTTGGTTGCAGGCACATCCCCAGTAGGGGGTGTGCAGGAGGCAGCTGATCGATGCTTCTCTCTCATCGATGTTTCTAACTCTCTATCCTTCTCCCTTCCTCTCTGTAAAAAAATCAATAAAATATATTTTAAAAAAATAAAAATACACCGAGCCTTAGCTGGTTTGGTTCAGTGGATGGAGCGTTGGCCTGCCCACTGAAGGGTTCTGGGTTCGATTCCAGTCAAGGGCACATGCCCAGGTTGTGGGCTCAATCCCCAGTAGGGGGCGTGCAGGAGGCAGCCAATGAATGATTCTCTCTCATCATCGCTGTTTCTATCTCTCTCCCTCTCCCTTCCTTTCTGAAATCAATAACAAATATACTTAAAAATTAAATTAAATTAAATTAAACAAAAATACCCCCGAGATCCAGGTCTGGCCCAGCTTTGGTATTTATTAAAGTCCCAGTGATTCTGCTATGCAGTCAGGACTGAAATCCGTGGAGTTAAAAGAATATATTAGCCCTAGCTGGTTTGGCTCAGTGGATAGAGCATCAGCTTGCAGACTAAAGAGTCCTGGGTTCAATCCCGGTTGAGGTCACGTACCTAGGTGGCAGGCTTGATCCCTGGGTGTAGGCAGGAGGCAACCAATCGATTTGTCACTCTCACATCAATGTTTCTCTGTCTTTCCCCCTCCCTTCCACTCTCTCTAAAAATCAATGGAAAATATCCTTAGGTGAGGATTTTTTTTTTTTTTTTAATTTTAAAAAAGAAAGTATTAGGCCTGGCCAGCGTCAACCTATGAAACAGGAGGTCACAGTTCAATTCCTGGTCAGGGCACATGCCTGCGTTGGGGGCTTGATCCCCAGCAGGGGGAGTGTGGGAGGCAGCCAATCAATGATTCTCGCTCATTATTGCTGTTTCTATCTCTCTCTCCCTCTCTCTTCCTCTCTGAAATCAATGACGATATATTATTTGTTTAAAGAGTAATGTATTGGAATAGTAACTCTCAAACTGGAGAGTGCCTCAGCTACCTGGAGGGCATGTCCAACCAGACTGCAGGTCCTCCCCAGGTTTCTGGCTCAGTAGTTCTGGGGCAGGGCCCGAGAATGTACATTTCTTATTAGTTCCCTGCTGATGCTCCTGGTCTGGGGACCACACTTTGAGAACCCCTGGCTCAAATCCCAGCTACTTAGCGGGGCTGAAAGATTGGACAAAGAACTGCACATGTACCTGCCCCTGATAGTGTTCAATGAACTTGTTATCACGACGAATGTATGATGCAGAGACGAGGCTACAGAAATCTTAAGTTACAGCATGCCTGAGTTGTAGCATCATTTTCATCAGAGCCTCAGCTTCCCCATCTGTAAAATGGGGATAATGACACCCTGGCTCAGCCCACTTTACAGGCTGTGGAAGGATCAAAGGCGTTCCCTGATGTGAAAGTGCTTTGGATACTGCAAAGCCCAGTAGAGAGTTTCATTAGAAACGGGCCAGGCCCCATCCCGGAGCCGCGGGCAGGGCTCCCGCTGGCGGGGACATCTGAAACAGCAGCTTCTCCTGCCGAGAGGCATCCAGGCCTCCCTCCAGCTGCCCACATGCTTCCCGGCCACCCTCAGGCTTGGGCATTCGGGTGAGGGAGGGGCTGGGAGCTCTTCAAATATCTCCGGTGCTGTGGGTGCAGCCACCCCCGCCTCGCCAGTCCTTCTGCTAAGACAAGGAATGCGGTGCAGAGACCAAAGCTGCGCCACCGCTTCTCCCCAGGCCCAGGCCCTCACCACGCAGTGGCCATCAGCTGCCCTTCCGCCTTGTCCTCTCACTCCCTCTGCCACCGGCCCGGCCAGGCAGGTGCGGCCCAGCCGCAGCCCCGGAGAGCCGGAGAGCCGAGGAGCTGGGGGACACTGTGCTGCTCAGGTGTGGAGCTTGTCTGCTTGGCTCCCTCCGTTTCAGTTCCACTCACAGGCACATGCTGCATGTCTGCTAGGACAGGGCTGACGGGCTCGGTAGTATGACTGTTTTCTGCACTAACAAGAAAAAGACATATTTGGGAGGACAGGCCTCACCGGGGCTGAGCTGGGAAGAGCTGGGGGCCACTGCAGTGAGCAGTGAGTCTCCCCACTGCTGGCGGGGGTGGGGGAGCAGCGAGTCTCCCCACTGCTGGCGGGGGTGGGGGAGCAGCGAGTCTCCCCACTGCTGGCGGGGGTGGGGGAGCAGCGAGTCTCCCCACTGCTGGCGGGGGTGGGGGAGCAGCGAGTCTCCCCACTGCTGGCGGGGGTGGGGGAGCAGTGAGTCTCCCCACTGCTGGCGGTGGGTGGGAGGGTGGGGCAGTCGGTCTTGACTCAGCTCAGGGCAGAACAGGTCAGAAGCTGGGAAATGTGCTTCTCTGACGGGGGTTCAGGGTTAGGATCCATCCCCAGGAAATACGATGAGATGACCAGCCTGGGTTGAGTCTTGGCTCCAATGGTGGGTGACCTTGAGCCAGGCTGACCTGATCCCGAAGATGGGGCCTAATCATTGCACCCCGCCCCCCCACGGGTGGAGGCAGAGATGAGACAGGCCTCTCATGCAGTAAGTGCTCACCAGGTTAGCATCTTGGACGGGGCTCCCCCAGATGCAGACCCCGGGACGGGATGTGGGGGTGAGCCCAGGGCGCGTGTGGGGCTTTGGGGTGGTGATGAGGGCGGGGAGGAAGCCCACAGGTGTATGTCTCCAGCTGCACACGCAATGAGCTGCCTGCGGGGAAAGCGCCTGGGTTAGAGTCAGGAAGGTGAGGGAACCCAGGTGTCTGTGTTCCTGAAAGTCTTGCTTTTAAAATGCACAGGACTTGCCCTAAACGTTTTGGTTCAATGGATAGAGCGTCGGCCTGCGGACTGAAGGGTCCCGGGTTCGATTCCAGTCAAGGGCATGTACCTTGGTTGTGAGCACATCCCCAGTAGAGGGTGTGCAGGAGGCAGCTGATCAATGTTTCTC